CCAAATTAATGGGGAAGAATCACAAACTGATTCAGGTGGTCTCAATAGAAGTTTGATTACTTTAAGAAGCGAATGCAAAAGATTGCTGTATGATTCACCTGAGTCTTCTTCTTCTGAAACTGATCTAATTAATGGGGAAGTATCACAAACTGATTTGAGTGTTCTCAATAAAAGTTCGATTACTTTGAGAAGCGCTCGCAAAAGATTGCTGTATGATTCACCTGAGCCGTCTTCTTCAGAGACACCCCAAATTGTATGAATCCTTTTTTATTTTATTAATATTAATATAATACATTATCAATGTTCAACTATTATCAATTATAAATGTTATTTATTTTTAGAATGGTCCCGTTGCCAAAAAGCTCTGTATTGAACCAAAGTGTGAACTTCCTGAAGATAATTGTTTATTATTAGCAATGAAAGCATTGACTTCAGTGCAGCTTATTGGTATTATTGAACAAATTGTCGATGATCATCCTGATGTTGAAAAGGTAATTAAACAATTTGGTCAAAATTCAGTAAGTTGTTTTGTTAATTGGAAATATTTATCAATACATAGGAAATCAAAGCTTATTTTCCAAAGATTGATTTAAAATCTCATGAAGATCGAATTTGTTATTTAAAGCGTAATATTTACAAGGCATTACCAAGTTCTAGATTGATTTCAAAAAGAGATTATACTGCATATAATAGAGTGTCTGCTCATTTAATGGATTTTAAAGTAAAATTATTGTTTGAATTTTTCTCTAGTGTTGACACGACATTTATTAATGTGTTAGTTATTGTCTTCAGAAATATGTCATCGATCAAGGTAGATTATTAGCTGAAAGTCATCAATGGATAGCTGTCATGGATTATGTATTTATGGCATGGAAGCATGTTAAAAATACTCCAGTATGGGAAAATCCATGCCATAACGCTGCACGCAGACAATGTTTTAAGTCATTAGCAGAATTATGTATGTATGCTCTCAAGAACATGAAGAACACATTGAACCCAAATCAATGTGAAAACTATAAAAAGCAGTAAGTATTTTATTCTAAATCACTGATTGTGTATTACTACTTAGCATTTTGTTAAATATGACTGATAATTTTTTGTTTTTTTTTACTTTAATTCATATTTTACTGTCATATCAAGCAATAATGTGGCTTATGAGAAAATATTTTTTATGATAAAAGTAACACTAACTAGTAAATAATTTTGAATGTATTTTAGACTGAAGTTCCTATCTGATGACCATGAAGAGTTACTATTATGTTTAAAATTCCTGAACACCGAAGTTAAATTTGATTGATCACTGATTAAAATCTATTCCATTTGTTTTCATTTGATTATTTGTGTTTGTTAAATGTGTATAGACAGTGATTAGTTACACTTAATTATTTTATCTGTATAAAAATTATTAATGTAACCCAAATAAATAATTTTGACTGTATAAAACAATGTTTCCAATAATTGGATTCCAAAGAATTATTCTTATTTAAATAATGTTTAATATGTTGTATACGTAAGATTATTTAACATATAATTTTACTTTTTTGAAATTTATTATCTGATTAATAATATAATCAGTAAAATAAGAAAAAGTAATTGTTAAACCACATTGATATTTATTACACTTTATTTAATTTGTTTTGTTTAAACATATTTTTTCCTTTATTTAATAATCAATTGGCTGATTAGTGTATAATAATTAATTGCTAAACTATGTTATCGTTAAATTTTTAATTTGTTTTTTCTTTTTCAATTTATTTTTTTTTGTACCTGTGGTTGTTTGATTTTGCTTAAATATATATTTGTGTAAGACTTAATATTTTCAAATTAAATTGTATTATTTTTTAGTACTAAATATTGATTAATGATAAACTTACCATATAGTTGTTAATATTTAAATATTAGATCTCTTGTGTTTAATTAAAATGTATTATTAAAATAAATATTACAGTCAAAATGGACTAGTAAAATCATTTGTTTATATTATTTTTTTTTGTGACTGATTAACTTATTTTCATTTCTGTATTTTTTAATTTCTTGTAAATTTATATTTATATTAAGAATTGTTAAGTATATATTGGTAAAACATTCAATTGATTTATTCATAGTAAATTACTTATTTATACTTATACAATTTATTTCATATTTAAGTTGTGTATTTTAAACAGAAAACAATTACATTGCATAACTATAATGTTTTTTATAATTATAATATATTATTATTAATAAATTATTAGAAATATTAATTCTTATTTGGTTGCAACCGTTTGTGTTCAATTTTATACAAGTTATGTCTGAATTAGTATAATAATATCTAATGAAGACTGTTTATAATGAAAGCAAAAAGAATGCAACTTTTTTTATTATTTCAGTGTAATTTATTTTTTATTATTATGATGAAATTAAACCAAATTTTATGTTGAGTAAAAAAATGTCATATTTATGTGCTAACTTATTTGTAGTTACTTTAAAGTAAGTGGTAAGTTTTGATAAAAACAAATTATGTTTTTTTATTATATGAATGGTTCTACTTTTTGGTTGTCACTAAGTATAGTAATTATAATTGTATAGATCATAAAAGGTGTTAAAAATGTTCAACATCCATGTGCATATTATTACATTTATGCAACATTTTTCTAGTTATTATGTTATTATGTCTGTTCGCTCTTTATCCAATATTTTATATTTCTAGTTTTGTAATTTATGTAACTTTTTCCTAGTATTATGCTAATATTCTATGTAATTGGGCTCGTCCCGTTTTTCAATAAATAAATAAATAAAATTACAAACAATTTATAACAAATTGTACATAATTATTTTATTCTTCATATTTGTATTCAATACCTGTAAGGAAACCTCTAGCTTGTATACTTACTTATAATTAAGTTAGTAATAAAATCGGCATTCGTGTAGCTGGTTATCTATCGTATTATACAAGGTGTAGTTGGTGATCAACGATTATCATTACCTATTATTATACGCACATTATCGCAGACTACTGTGAGACAGTATTGCGATAATGATTAATGACATTTACAATATAAACTACGAGTCATTAGAAATTGTTGCTGGAATTGAAATTATAATTATATTTGGCTAATTATTTTTTATTTATATATTTAACGAATATTTTTATGATATGACGTACTCGTAGTAAAAAATATAATGTGTTTTTATACTATTAAAACGTAAATCACTCGACCTGAATTCACAGATCACCCGCCCCCCGGAAAATCACCTGCTACATGAATGCCTAAAACTCATTATTTATAGCTCTGTTATAAATTTATAATCAAATAAATTGTAAATAAAACTATTTTGTATTTCATTTTTTATAAGAATATATCTTGTATACTTATAGATGATTAGGATTATTATATATCTTACAAAAAATAAATAAAATACACAAAATAAAAAATATATATCTTTATAGTATAATCCTGTTATCAATCAAAATAATATAGCTCAGGCGCGGATCCAGAGTAATCAGGGAGGGGGTGCATTTTATATTGTGAACATAATATAACATATAAAATTCAATAATTTTATAAGTATTATTGTTTACCGAAAATATTTCTTAACACTCTAAAGGAATAAACTTTCAACTAAAAATTAATTAAATTTAATTAGATACATTTTATCTGAATCCATAGGAAAAATACTAACTTTACTAAAATACTAACCATTCATATTTAAGAGGACGTCTCACCCGCATGTGTTGTTTCCGTTTGACATATGTACAACATAGCAAATTTGCGTTTAGTAGAGGTGGGTCGGTCGCGACTGACCAAATCAAAATGAACGAATCATTCAAGTGACCGAGTCGCGACTGAATGTTGTACCAAAAAGTATTCAGTCTTTCGGTCAAATCGATCTTTAAGTCAAACGACTCGTTTGACGGTTTTTAATGAAACTTTTCTTTCAGACGGAATTATTTTATGACAATATACCGTTTACTTAAAGATACTTGGATACTAAATATACCTAATAAATGCATTTTACAAAATATCAAGGGGGGCAGTTGCCCCCTCCAGTTTATGCATATGATGTATATAATATCAACTATTTAACACAATTTGTTTATACAGTCATACAACACTTTTTACTTTTACTTACTTTTATGATTTACTAGGTAAGAAATACTTAAAAATAAAACAACCAAATTTAAATTATAAAATGATTGAAAATATATAATATATGAACACAATATTGTAAATTCTGTATAATTCAAAATTATATATAATTTATAATTTTCTTGTACCAATTACAAAAATACAAAATGTTGAATTATTTTGTTTTATTTTTTGGTAATAGATAGTACAACCCATGCATAATAAGTATAAAATATGATAATAATAATAATTCTACTATATCATGGAGTCTTTAGTCTATTCTCGGGGAAAACAATAATTATCTAATAATAGACAGTATCGATTATTGATAGTCACTATAGTTGACTATAGTGTTGTACTGATTTACATGTTAATAATAATTGCATCTCGTGATTAAAAGATAATATAATATAATCTGTGGTGAATGGTGATATCTACTTTCACGATACCAACTAAGGTTTTGTAAGGTATTAAAGAAAATACAAGTCTATAATAGTAATCATAGGCAGTATATTAGTATAATATTAAATATATACAATAATAATTAATAATCCAAGACTCATGGCTTATAATAACAACCACGGCGTTTTACTACAAACAGTACAATTTACAACATTATCATAATAATCTGTGTCACTGATTAACTGATTCATATTTCATAAGAAAATTGATTCACCTAATGATAAGAACGATATTTGATGCAAGACCGAAATGACTGATATGACCGAATCACTAGACTGATCCGATTCAAATGATTCGAATCATTCAAACGACCGAAAATTCTCACCTCTAGCGTTTAGTGATTCAAATGTAGTGATGTTAGCTTTAATATTAGAATAAACTGGCCTATAATCAAACATTATCTATGTTTTTTTGGTCGGTTTTTTCCGATATTTTCATGAGTATGTAAAATATAACAAAAAGCAATTACGAATCCTTATCGGTTGTATTTATAAATTTTTGTCTAGAACATTTTGTTGTACATTCGTACGTACTTCAATTATTCAGTTCTCTTTATCGCTGAATTTTGTTTGTTACTCGATCGTGCATGGTTTTTTTCTGTTTCGTAAAATGCCGAAATATAAAATATCGCACTATTCGAAATGGGTTTTCCAGGCGAGTTTACACGGGTCGATCGCTGTTGCCGTGCGGCGAAATCGAAAACAAATAAAATGCGAAAACTTATTTTCGGCTTAATTGCACGGCTAAATGATCGGTCAATTTTAGTAGATCTGAACAATTCGATAAACAACGATAGTAAACAACTAGGCGATCAAGTTGAACATGAGTATTCAAAATAATAATAAACTAATTTCGGATCTTTGACAGAAATTTCTTTGAAAAAGATTTGTTGATGTTTCTTTTTAATATCCATCGCCGAACCCATAAACGACGTTTTTTGGTTTTTTTATTTTTTAATTTTAACAATTTTTCACGTAGTTGTACATCACAAATTAATAAAATACCAACACTTACCGTAGAACACATTTTTGTTTACACTTCGATTTCAACTAAAATGTAGCCAAGAAATAGTTGAAGTAAATAAGTGATTTTTTTAATCCTTAAAATAAGCACATTTTACATTACCATCTTTTAAATCTCATTTCTAAATATTATTGACATACCGTAGTACATCATCTATTGGTGGGTAATTCTAATATGGTACATAATAGGGAATGCAATTTATATATAATTCGTATAAGTACACATAGATTATGAAGAAAAAGGGTGGATTGAAAAATTATATATAGGTACTTTATACCAATTTTATGAAAAAATTCATTAGAATACCAATACCTAATTGGCAGGGCCTAATTCAATAAAATTAGGGCCAAGTGCACAATTTTTTTAAGGGCTCCTAAGTCAAAAAAATGTTCTAGAAAAATCTATATAGAGAGGGGAGGGGGAATATTATAAATAAAAAAATATGTATATCTTTAAAGTGTTAAATACCTATCTCAAAACTCATAAAATATTTGTACATTATTTCATGTACTTTAAATACAATTTAGTTGATCTGGTAAATTAAGGACAATAAAAAGATAATACTAATAACAAAATATAACAAACATAACAAAATTATAATATTTTAAAATATTAAAAATACTTAAGGATCTTATTATATGAATTTAATTAATATAATTAATTTTCAATCTTTCATAAAATTATAAAAATGGTAAATAATTTATTAATTAACAATTTTTTTTATATAATTAAAATTAAATAAAAAATGATCAATTTTTATAATTTCTATTTATATACCTAACATTTTATCATAAAAAAGTTTAAAAATTACAAAGATTTATTTATTGGTTTTTTTCTGCAAAAGTTTCAATAACTGAATCAAAATTTAATAATGATGTAACATCACTTTCAATAGTTAAAAAAGATAAACCGTCCAAACGTTCTTGAGTCATACAGGATTTGAGATGTGTTTTAATTTGTTTTTATGCAGAAAAGATCTCTCACTAGAACAGTTAGTACACGGAATTGTCAAGTATAATTGTATTAATATTTCAATATTAGGAAATGTATGAAGTATATCCATGTTACGTAAATATTTAAATTGACTTTGAGGGTTTACTATTTTACATATGGATTCTGGAAAAACTATTTCTTTCAATTCTTGAAATTATATAAGTTCGTCTACTAGTTCAGCGTTTTCCAAACTCTTGTTTAAGCTGGCCCAGTAATAAATATTTTTCTCTTCGTGACTCACCAAAATATTTTACATTTATCATTGTGGAAAAAAAAGGCAAAATAAAATACATTTAAATGTCCTCATAGAATTTTATAATAAAATTGAAGCGTTAATTTGTTACTATTATACTGTATTTATAGATACGGCGAATGCCATACTATACGAGTTATTCATGAAAAGTAGTTGATAATCTCAATAATTATTACTTATGTTATAAACAGAGCTCGTAAGTACATGAATTTGCATATCAATCTTGCAAAGTTGTATTTAATGCTAGATGACACAGAAATCCATTTCAAGGTACCACGGTTAAATATGTGAAATCTTATTTTGCATATTTTCGCATATTTGGCATGTTTTTGTTTATTTGACATATTTATGCATATTTCTATTTTATCGGGCATATTATACAACATTCTATTAGAATCTATCAAAAATCTAAATGGAAAATATATATAAAATTAAAAATAGAAATTGTACTATCTTTTCTTTTTTTTATATTCTTGATACTCGGACATTTAATGAATAAATTTGTTCCAAAAGTTTCAGATTTAAAATTAATTACTGACAAAGACGTACATTATACACAGTTCATGAAGGCTCAAGAATAGTTTTAAATAGTATTTAAAATCTATTTTTTTTTTAATTATGAGATAAAAAAATAAAATATAGCTATAAAAAATTGAATAGATAATTTATGTAATTTCAAAAATTATTTATGATTTATTTAAGTAAGCATTTTTTAAGTGCATAATTTTAGATATTTAGTACATATAAATTCATATTTTTAACTTTTTAAGGCATATTTCATAGCATATTTTGCCAATTTTAAGTGCATAAATGCATGCTTAATCAGGCATTTTTTAGGGCATGAACTTACGAACCCTGGTTATAAATAATAGTTATTCATATTAATTTATTTATTTTTACTAAAAAGTTCAAATTATCAAACGAAATGGTAAATAACAAATTGAGAAAATGAGAATTATATTAAATTCTGCAACCTGGTATCATATTTTCGTAGCCTGGTAGTGGATCGTGACCTACTAATTTGGGAAACGCTGTACTAGTTACTAGTTCATAGTCCAAATCGTTTGAATACATTTACAGTATTAATTTAACTGAGTTAACAATCTCTGGGCGTGATATATTTTTATATAAGAAACCAAATTTTTATTCCAACAATATATAAGCATGATTACGTATGACTAGTTCAGAAATTAATTTATCACAAAGAATATATAATATTTATACAATATAATCTTATTTTTTAGACCAATTTACTCCTGGGTTATTTGCAATATTATCTAACACTGGCTGAATAACCCGGCTTCGCCCGTGTGCAGTTTTTTGTGTTACCTACGTATAACTTTTTATTTTATCAGTTATATATTACAGGTTGCTTTTAGTTTTTCCATATTCATTTCCGTGAATAAGAATAATTGAATAAAACATGTAGGTATATAATATTATCAAAATCGAATGAAATTTAAAACAGTGGTTCTAGGAGCGTACCCAGAAATTTCTTATGGGGAGGGGTCCAAAATTTTTATTTTATCTGATAATAGGAAATTAAAATACACTATATACTATTATTATACTATTAAATCCTTGAGTATGTAGAAATTTCAATGGGGGTCCGGACTCGACACCCCCCTCCTTGGGTACGCCCTTGAGTGGTTCTAAAAATGGTAATTGTGTGAGCAAAATGCTCATAGCGTCACCAACGACGGGTTAATATGTAAATACTGGGCTCGAAGAAATCTATAAATAGTTATTACTAATAACTAGTATTTATAATATAATATATTTTTTTCTAAAAAATGTCTAAAACATGTGTTATTTAATTTAGCAACTAGAATATTAGCTGCTAATGATGTTTCACAAAGCTCTAAATTAAATGACGATTGATCACTATTATTTGTTAAATTAGATTATAGTACTTGATTATTTTGTTTCACTTCATTCAGTTTTCGTTGAATTCCATGAGCATGTTTATCTCGACTAATGTGTTGTTGAATTGTAAATTTCTTTTCAGAGGCAACGGCAGTATTACAAATTTTACAAGAAAGCACCGTCAGTAGAAAAAATATTGGCACCAAACTCACTCACAAAACTACGTAAACAACTTTATACTGTTAACTTAATTTTTGGCATTTTTAAGATTTTTAAAGTTTTAATATTCATTTTTAATATTAGTCGTAATATTATTTGTTCGGTGTTGTTTACTGTTAAGATCGGTATAAACAACATAGGTACCTACGTGTCGTATTAACTACTAAAGCTTTTATTGTATGCCTATATAGTTTTGGGTTCGTTAGAAATTTAATCTTATCGGATAATCGACAATATTATTATATTACTTTTTCAATTTATACCCACTTTGGTGAATTCCATTTCACCGATAAATATACAAGTTTTAAAATATTTTTAATATTATTTTATTAATATAGTTTCAATATTACTTATTCGTCAACAGGTGACAATAATTTTATCAAAAACGGGTATAACAGAGATAATTATATTACGGTATGTTGTCGATATAAGTTCAAAGGTACTATTTTTATAAGGGTACAGGTACTATAGGTAATAATTGAGATTACCTATATAAAACATATTAAAAAAACTTAAAACAAACAAAAATTAATTTTAATACACAAAATGAACGTAATATTTGTAAAAATGACCTTAGATGCTTTGCTATTGCATTAAACATAAGATGACCCTTAGGGCGAATGATTAAAAATGAAGACGAAAACTTACAGGTAAACCCGTCTGGGCCGGTGATTTGTACTAACGCATTTTTGAAAGCGGAGTAGTTGATTATGTTTTTAACATATATTGGCGGAGCTCTGGAGTTATCCTGTTGAATGTTAGTAGTAATAGAATCGTTGATTATGTTTGAAGTAACGCAAGAGTTTTCGAGATTATTTTCGTTATCATCTTCATTTGCCAGGGCAGCGAATTCATTTGACGAGACGAATGATCTAGATTTTTTATGTTCTGTTTGGATTGATGAATTTGGAGATGATGGCAGCGACCGTTTGGGTTTGGACATTTTCAAAGAGGTGTTAACCATAAAAATAATGAAAGCTTGAACAACGGAAAGGAGACCGTAATAGATTACATATTAATTAAATTATAACGCGATAACGGAGCAAACAATTGCACATTATGCGACCGCGTTGCAGGTCAACACCGTACTAGCTATAGTTATAAGCAGGGCTCGGAAGTTATAGCACTAAAAATGTTACTTTTTAGCTCTTAAATATGCACTTAAAAACTCTAAAATATACGCAATAAATAGCACGAAAAATAAAAAAATATGCATTTAACTTGAACAAAATGTAATTTTACAAATTGTTGGGCTCATTAGACACAGTCTGGACTGATAGAATTAAAAACTGTTAGCAAAAATGTTACATTACTTAAATATATTTGTAAAAATGTACTTATTATTAAATTATTTTATATGTTTACCTTGGAAATTAACCTAGATTATCAAAATGATTGATAATCTAATGCAAGATTTAATAAGGGAATAAAAATGACGTCACTAACTATTAATACATCAAATTGTCGGCGCTTTCCATTACCGCACAAACATGACCCAATACCGCACAAAATGCATAACCCAATACCGCACACAAAAATAGTACGATACCGCACAGATTTATAAAAAGGTATAGCCTAATTCCGCAAACAACAAATGGTACGATACCGCATAAATTTATTAAATATTATATAAAAATAATTTTTAATCATAATTTATAGTAGTATTAGTAATGGTAATAAAAATGTAATAATTTAAACATAAATGTTATTGTAGACACCTATATTGGTTTAAAATGTAAACCTGTTTTTTCTATATATTCCATTTTAGTCAGTTTGTTTGTTAATAAAAGCGAGTACTGATATACCAAATTGGCTTCTCGTTCCCGATCACATTTCCGCTGTATTGCTTCAGTTCCCTTCTTAATTTCTTGCATTTTCGCTTCATTAATTACTTGTTGGTCTATTAAAACATCAATCTAAAAACATAAAATAATTACTAATTATTACTATATTTTAATAATTAATAGTTTTCATACGTACAACTTGGAAAACAGATGAATGTGGCATATAAAATTCAAACCGAAGTTGACTGTGGTATGATTCAGCACCGTTAGTTGTTCTTTTTGTACCATTAGGTTCTTCAGCCCACATTGAAGGAGGAAATTGTTCAGTGTCAATATAATTTTCAAGTACATAATTAGCAAACTCCGTGCACTTTTTATGTTTTGGAGCTTCAGATAAAATGTCATCAAAAGCATCGGAAACAAAATTTTCCGGTAAATACGGTAATCCGAAAAACATTTTAAGCCACTTTCCAATCTCTGAATTTTTATCTTTGTACTCTTTATGCAGTATTGGAATAGAATTTATTTTTCGACACCATGCTTGACATAAATGAAACCGGCATGCTTTAATTTTGATATTTTTAAACACATTACTCGTATGAGCTCCGACTTCAAAATCAATAAGTAATAATTGTGGATTTAAATTTGTATTTGTTAATTGAAAACATAGGTTTTTTAAATTTGTCCACATACGAATATAACATTTTAATGTTTTAGATGGCAAAAAACAAAATACTAACGGAACGTAGTGGCCTCTTGTTAAACCATGTATTGTATATTGCTGAAAAAAATGTTTTGGGCAATATGTGAATGTACCGTCGGCTAAAAGAGTTTCCGTATTGTCATTGAGAAATAATAAATTTGTTTTGCAAGTTACAATTATTATTTCATCCTCTTCAAATACGTGAATAAAATGTTCGTTAGATTTATTCTCAATACAAGCAATTTTAACTTTTTGTATAGCATCGGTTATAGATGATGGAACGGTAGGTAAAGTTTTGCGTCGTTCTCGATACATAGACTTTCGAAGAGCATTTATATTAGATGAACATACCTGAGAGTCTTCAATACTTGATAATTCTTTACGAATTATTTTTATTGGCTTTTCATATACATTTTCAATAGCTTTACGTTTAATAGCTGTACGAATTTTTTGTAGTTCTTTTTTTTGTTCATCATTGTCCTCGTCGTGTTGGTGATCTTTAATATTACTGCGAATTAAAACCGTTTTTTCATTGTTGGTGATAATAGTTACATGTTTTTTGCACACACCGCCAAACAATATCACCTGAACATTTATTAGTTCTAAAATAACGAAAGTTATAGTTGTCGAAATGAATAGAACTATTACCACGGTTATTAGTAAAAAGTTTAAACATATTTTATTTTTATTTGAAATGTCACGCGAAATGATTCAAAGACGACTAAAAACACACTAAAAATTTGTACACTGCGAATACAATCTTTTACAGATAAAGCTTAATAATGTCGTTATAGATAATTGTCGATAAGTGACTATAATCGTCCAAAATAAACGTGTGCGGAAATGGGATATCCAGTATTTTAAAATCTGTGTGCGGTTTTGTCCCATGCGTATTTTGCGCGTTTGTGCGGTAACGGGCGACGCCCCAAATTGTCGATGAAAACATAAAATAATATTTGATGAGGTCTATGTATTTCCAATAATTAAAATATTTTTAAAAAACATAACTAAGTAAATACAATTATTATCATTTATTATCGAGCCCTGGTTATAAGGTATCAAATATTTCAGATGTTCAAACAATTTTCTATTATTATTATTTTAATATTTTGTGATGATAACTGATTAACACTGGGGTGCGGAATCACAAAAATAACCAAAATTCAACTGACAATTTAATGATAAAAATACTCGTATACTAAACTCTGAACATTGACAGTTTGAACATATTATCGTATTATATTGAACATATAAATACTAGTGTTTATAATCAATAGTATTACATTTTACAAAATAATTATTTGTGGAATTAATTTAAAAAAAACTAATAATAATATATATAAACGAGATAAAGAAGGTACGAAATAATTCAATTTTCATCATCAAATTTCAAGTTGATATAATTATCTGATTTTTTCTTTTTTTTTTTTACTGTTATCATTTATTCCCGTAGCTCTTTAAATACTTTACAATCAAATGTACTCGTATTTGTGGCATTTAAACAATATTTAAAATTATAATATGTATTTGAATTTATACCTAAATAGCTATTAAAAATTATTGTTTACAACATTATACTGGTTCCTCCTTTTAGATGAATATTTTTATTTAAACAAATTTATGTGGTTCACTTCACCCGAAACCTAATTAATTTGTATTATTTACTATTTATGTGCATCGAGATCGTAATAATTGTACTTGTTTGGATTTAGAAGTTTCTATTTTCATTATTTTAAATTATTAGGATTTAAATCTAGTGAAATTGGGTAGTGTTAATGGGTGTTGAGAGGAAAGTAAATACTTTTTATGGTCACACGACACCACATTTATGTTACGCATTACACATTTGTGGAATAATAGTTGCATAACATAACGCCGGTCCCAAGTGGTCGACAATATGCATCATCCACCAATATTTTTTTTACACCGTTACTCGATAATTTTGTTTCATTATTTGTAAGTAGTTTACCGTTAGTACGGTAGTAGTTAGTACTGTAAAAAACCGGTAAATATTTAAAGACCGCAGTTTTTACATTCCCCCCTTCCCCGTAGGGGTGTACCACTATCCATGTAACGCTTATACAATATATAGTAATGTACTCGTATGCGGTATGAAAAAAGACACTCGATTCGCGTAAATTATCTCTTTATTTGATTATGTGATTATGATAAAAAAAATCAAGAATTCACGGTTGGTCCTCGACACGTGTAACGGCGAAGTCGTCGGAGGGTTATGACGTTGATGGCACGTCCCTCATTTCAACGGTGCACTCGTCCAATTCACGGCGGCTTCGGCTGCCAGTTCGTCTCCTCCGGCTTCTTCGCCTTCTACTCTTTCCTCTCCTGGCCACTACTATTCCCGTTCCATCGTCGGTCGCTACCGCGTCTTCATCAACAGCGCCACCGCTTATACTACGACGGCGGCCACGGTAGCTTCTCCTGCTTCTCCTACGTCTTCTTCTCCTAGCCTCAACGAATTCTACATCGGAACCGCCGTCGGTTGCTTCCGCGTCTTCATCAACAGCGCCACCGCTTATGCTACG